GAGATGATGGCATGGGACGGTGAGATGGGATGAGATGATGGAGAGACGGGACATGGTGAGATGAGATGATGGCATGGGACGGTGAGACGGGATGATGGTGAGGCAGGCTGGGACAGGGAGCCAGGCTGGGATAGTGAGGAAGGCTGGGAGAGGGAGACAGAGTGACAGTTAGATGGGATGGGAAGGCGAGACGGGATGATGGTGAAGTGATGTAATTTCATCCATGATGTCATCTAATGTGATCAGCTGATCAGTTGAAGAGGGACCCCTCCTGGGGATGCGGCGCCTCCACAATACAAATGGATGTTCTGGCACTGCCTGCTCTCTCTTGACCCTACACTATGCCCATCACCTGACGTCCAGACACTGAACCATAAGCCTGCAGAAGTCTCTAGCCTGATGCCTGACTTGCAGATTTTGGATTCCCCAGCCCCCGCAGTCCCATGAACCAGCGGAGGTCTTTAGCCTGTTGCCTGACTAATGGATCTAGAACCTGCCAGCCCCCACAACTGTGTGAGCCACTTCCTTGAAGTAAATCTCTGTATATATTTGTATGTGTGTGTGTACATACGTACATATGTGTAGACATAAAAACATACACGTCTTATGGGTTTGGCTTCTTTTGAGAACCCAACAAAAACAGAATTTAAGACTCTAATTCACATTAAGATTGCAATCGCCACCTGACATCAAGTGAACAAGAACCAGAGTTGTCGTAATACTCAGCAAACCGACTGCCTGTCTGCACAGGACACAGTGGTAACACAAAGCCACAAAGCACCAGTCACTGCCTGGAAAACCAGGAGGGAGTAACATGGGGCACAGGAGGCTGGGTGCAACTGAACACAGGTCTCCTCTCCTCCAGGCAGAAGCAGCCAGTCACCTCAGACATCACCCGCTGTCCCACGTGCAGGAGCTGGGCCTGATGAGAAGTGTAGCTGAAGGGAACTTATCCAGAGAAAACATTTTCATGAAAGAATATAAAAATAACAGGTCTATCAGATAACTGTTTCAAAAAGGCACAAAAATGGCAAATGCAGCCATTCTGCATGCCTGAGGAGAGCTTATTCCCAACAAGAGGTGGTGCTGAGTTGATAAGATCCCATACTGAACACAACCCCTCTGCATTTTCTGCTACTGCTGAAAATGAACTAAAACACTGGTGCTTCCTCCTAAATGCCCGCCACAGTATTGCCAATGAGACTGGAGATGGTTATCTCCATGGTACCAGGCCCAAAGTGCACGCCTCAACACTGGGGTCATGACCTGTTGGTGGGAAAGACTAAGATGCAAGCGAGAAGGTGGTGTCTGTGGGACTAAGCATCCGACTGTAAGCTCGAGCAGGAGCTACTCACTAGCATACAACACAGCCGCCTGTTCTTCTGTGACACCCGTCTGAAGGGTGTCCTCAGTGCATACCCCACAGCCGCACGTCGTGGGCCTGTTCCTCCGTGACGCCCTTCTGAAGGGCGTCCTCAGTGCACACCCCACAGCTGCACGTCGTGGGCTCTGCTTCCGTGACGTCCTTCTGAAGAGTGTTACTGGTGTACGTGCCCATGCCATCCAGCATATTCTTCCGTAATGTCCTTCTGAAGAACACCACTAGTGTACACCCCACGCCTGTGCATTGTGGGTGCAGTCTTCAATTCCTTTTTGGGTGTGTTCTTTGCAATGGTTCTGAAGAACAGTCTGCCCTAGGATGAATCTGTACAAACTTCCTACTAAGAAAGACAGTAACAGCATGAAACTTCTCAACAAAGGTCCTGGGATAAAGGCCTAGGGAGTGCAGCTAACCAAGAGGAGCCCTATGTATGAGCATCCTCTCAAGTTTTGGTGGGTCCTGTTGTTGTCAAAGGGAGCTCTGGTGGTGTAGTGCCTAAGGCATTTGACTTCTAACCAGAAGGCTGGCGGTTCAAATCCACCAGCCACTCCCTGAAAGGAAGGTTGGGCAATCTACTTCTGTAGCGATACCACCTCAGAAACCCAAAGAGGGCTCGCTCTGAGTCGGATCTGACTCCATGGCAGTGAGTTTGGTTTTTGGTTGTTGTAAAAAATGAAACCAAGAGACAGATATCAACATTGTCTTGTAATATTATTTGAGTTTTCTGCTTTGTTTTCATATAAGAAAACCTCCACCTCCGAATGGCACTAGGGTGCTGTTATCAATATCCCAGTGCTATGATGGAAACACACACACAAGTCCCCGGTGCCCGCCCCGTGCTGTCCGGGTCCATCTGGTGGCGTGACCATGGACAGCCAGCGTGCTCTGTGGCCGTGAAGACAAAGCACCTGCGTTCACCTGACACCATGCTCCCTGAGGCTCATCATTCTCTGCCGTGGGGTGTCCTGTGCACTGCAGCGTGTGCAGCATCATCCCTGGCCTCCACCCACTCGATGCCAGTGCCACCGCCCCCACCCAGCTGTGACAATCAGGAATGTCTCCAGACACTGCCCAACATCCTCGGGGTGGGGGTGGGGGGCGCTTTGAGAAGCGCTAATGTAGTTACAAAACCCGATTTTCAAAGTGTGCTCACGTGCCAAATTTGGGCAACACACCACTCAACATGATGACAGGTCTCTGAACAAAGTGCTCCATGACAGACAGAGGTATGCATCCAGAACTCAACACGTGGTGTGCCACGCGGCGTGCGCATGCCTGTGCTCTGCTTCCCCGCACACAGGCTCTCGGGGGCGAGCCCGTGGGCGTGGCGCCCTGGGTCCCTGCAAGACCAATTGGCTCACCTCTTTGTCCATCCTCTCTAAATCCTCCTTACAAAGTGTGTACAGCGGCATAGTCTCTGACATACTGGGTTGCCGTTTTCTTCTAGAAGGGCCAGGCCGCTCCGCGTCTGCAGTGCCACGCAACTCTTCATCAAACATCTGCTGTTGGTGTGGCTGAACAACTCTGCAATGAATTTTATAGGTCCCACATGAGGAAATCAGTTTGTACTGCATCCTTCAGCACTGAATCAGACCCTGATGCTTGGGCAGGTGAACAAACGCTTACATACTAACAGTATTTGCACTTGGCCAATAGGACCTGCCTGTTACACTTTAGTAGAGCTCATTTCAAACAGAGGTTTCCGCAAGCTATGCCAGGCAAGGGTAGCCAGGCCCATGCCCATGCCTGCGGGAGGCTGTCACCTACCTTCTTACATCAACAAAAGTCGGTAAGACCACATGGTCATGGACAGTGCCCACTGTGTCCCCATGAGAGTCAGAACAAGGAACACACAGAAGGAAGGTGAGGGACACCCTCCCAGAAACCAGCAGGAAGTGCTACTCATTCTTGTGACGAGGCCAAGGCAGCCACAGATTCAAAAAAGAATCACTTACAATCCGCCAATGGCATTCAAGAAGTGAGTTATTCAGACGACAAGCCCAAAAACTGCTAGTGAATTTAAGAAGTCTTCGATGAGTTAATTCCAATCACGCGCTCAGAAAGGACAGCAGATTACTAAACACAAATGGATTTCAGTCTCTCTCCAGGAAGTGATTTAACAGGTTAACCAAAAATTAAAGGCCAGAAGTGTGTCCCACAAAGGCTGGTCAGGACGACACTGACCTTCAATGTGCAGGAGCTGAGGAACCTGGGGGGTGGGGCCTCAAGGACAGAGGTCCCCTGCTCCAGGCACTGAGTGGACAGAGTCTGCAGCCTCCTGGGACACACGCTCAGCTCCCATCAAGGAGGCTGCTGTGGGCGGGCTGTGCCCCACGTATGCACCTGCCTCTCCCCAGCTGGGTAAGGCCAGACAGAGGGCCGAGTCAGGTGCTCCCAGATCCCCGCCCAGCCCCTGGCAGGCTCCCAGCAGAAGCCCCCCTCCCAGGAGACTGACTGCAGAGGTCAAGTATGTGGTGCTAAGCTGTGCTGGACCCCGCAGGGACAGACCACCGCCCTCCACTTCCTCCTCTGAAGAGTCACTGCTCACTAAGGAATGCCTTCTGTGGTCATATGTGATGGCAGTATTGTTATTTTAAAATGAATATTGAAAAACATCTCCGTTTAACTGAATGTGATAAATGGGGACACAACAGCATAACGCGTCCCAGCGAAAGTTTGAGAACCATTGTTCTTGCTCATGCCCTGTCTGCAATACCATCATCCTGACCATGTCTGTGGCAGTGATTTTAAAATCGCAGCCTTAAATAAAATGAAAAACTTATGAATTAAAAATACACCCACTCCTCACTTAAAGGCAAGGTTAGGCTCTGACTGGAGACTGTTCTGGTCACCTAGTGCTGCTCTAACAAGAATATACCACAAATGGGATGGATTTAACAAACAGGAGTTTATTCTCTTACAATTTGGAGGCTCTAAGTCCAAGTTCAAAGTGCCAGGCTCTAGGGGCTGGGTGAAAGCCCCTTAACCTTGGGCTTCAGCTCTGCCTCCTGCTCCTGGCCCACTGGAGCTGGAGGCTTTTCTTCACTCAGTTGCTAGCTTCTGAGACTGCCAAGCCCAAGGTTGACAAGTAGAAAGGCACAGTCCCAATGTCACCTAGCCACACAGCAGGCCATTAATTCAAGTCCACTGAAAGTCCCAAAGTTGGCAGAGCATGGCAGGCTGCTGAACATGGCTACATGCAGGGTCCAAGCGTGCCATGAGCTAGAGACCATTCCCAAAGCTGCTGCTTATATACGGGAAGCAGACCGCATCCCTAGAGTGGCTATTCAGCTGTGTGTGATAGATACCACCATGGAGGTGATTGCCAATCTCATCATGGGGAAAACTACCACCAGCTGCCCAGCCACTCAACCAGGCCCAGCCAAGTTGACATACAACTTTAACTACCACAGAGACCGCATCCCCTCATTCCCTCATCTGTATGTTGAATGCCCTGCTGGGCCCCTGCTAAGGCCACCTGCCACTCCCTCAAGCCACCTCAGGAGAGCTCGGCCCTCACTGCCACTTGCAGGGGAGGGCCGCCCAGTCTTCCAGAGCCAGGGTGGCCCCAAGCACCACCCTCTCCCCATCCTTGGGGTTCCATCCCTCTCCTGCTCTATTTTCAGGATGGGTAGCCCCAGCTCATCCCCTCAATGACTCCAAAACGCCCTTGGTGGCCTTGTTGGGGGCAGGGGGCTCCCTGTCCATGGATGGGTGGGCCTGGGTACCGTAGAGGGATACTGGGCTGCTGGGTCCCCCCACTGGCCCCTCACCCAAGCGTGCCCTAGCTCTCACTGGGAAGCCCTGCTTCCCTCTGCCCCCATGAGAATCAACAATATACAGCTACCACTGAGGCCGTGACGGCCAGGCCTGCCTTCTGCCAGTGGCCACTCACCCGCTGACCCCAAGCCTGCCCAGGAAGCCTGCCCCACCCTCATCTGGGCGTGCCCAGGAGGGAGCACTGAGTGGGCTAAAGGGGCTGCACAGGTGCTGGTCAGCAGACATGGGCTCCTGCAGTCCCGAGGCACAGAACTGCCCCAGCCCAGGGCTGCTTCTGACCAGGGCCTGTCCTGTCCCTGTTGTCCCCTGGGGCTACGAGCTACGACCAGACCCCAGGTCCTGCTTCCTCCGTGGCCTCAGCCTCTGGGAACCCCCAGGACCTCCTGGGTAGCCTCAGGCAGCTGCCAGCCCCACTCCACCCAGCACCCCGTCGGCCCCTCTCCTCGGTGGGGAAGTACTATGCAATCCCCACTTCCTTTCCACGTGCACATGGGTCTGCTGGTCCCCTGACACATCAGTGTCAGTTCCTGCCAGACCACACCATGAATGCTGAAACTGCAGGCTAACAGATTTTTCACTATGGTTGTAAATGTCGGTGTGGGATAATCAGATAGCCAATAATGAGTAGTAGGTACAATCACCACCATTCCTAAGTTCATGGTTTAATGATATGTTTTCCTTTAAATTAAAGGTTATTCCAAGAGTTCAATGAGTATTTTGAAAAAACAAGGACTACGACATGTGAAAAACATGATCCATGACTCATCCTGCTTTTCAATGAGTGTGGAGCTCCCCCCTCCACTGTCCCAGCACTGCAGACACCTGGGCCGTACAGCTCTGCTGGGGGGGTGGGGGGGGGGCATAGCACTGCAGAATGCAAACCAATACACCCTGACCTGACCATCCCTTTCCAGCTGTGACCAAAAATGCCTGCAGACATGGCCAAGTATGGGGGAGGGGCGGAACCACCTTGAGTCTCAAGCTCAGGTTTGAGGAGGAACGGGGGTATCTCTGCTCTGTCACATGGGATCAGTCGTCGTTGGTTGTACCTAGTGCTGCTGTAACAAGAACACAAGTGGGTGGCTGTAACAAACAGAAATTCCATCTCTCACAGGTTACGAGGCCAGAAGCCTGAATTCAGGAAGCTATAGAGGAAGGTCTGTAGGCCACGCGTCCTTTGGCGATCACCATGTCTTGGCGTTTATCTTCCCCTTGGTTCAGCAGGTTCTCAGCACAGGGATGTTGGGTCCAAAGGCTGCGCTCCATTCCCTACCCTGTTTCCTGGTGCTATGGAGGTCCCTCTGCTCTGCTGGCTTGTTTAATGAAGACAGCACCCTTATCCTATATGTTGTATCCTGTCTCATTAACGTAACTGCCTCTAATCCTACCTCATCAACATCACAGAGCTAAGGATAATTACAGCAGACATAATTTCACAGGATTCAATTCAAACCATAACGCGGCCAAATCAACTTTATGGCCGTGACCATGTGATCACTTCTAAGAAGACAGAAACCAACACTGACAGCAAGTATAGTAAAACCATAAAAGGTGTCAGAGCTCTTTCCACCAAACAGCTGCATCAGCAGGTTGGTTGCCAACACAGGTGTTGAACCCATCTCAAGGGAGGGCCTGTGATGGCTTCTGGGGCCCCTGCAGTATGGCCCACCACTCACCACCACCACCTCCCACCACACCAGCACATGCACACAAGGTTGGACTAGCACAGTGTCTGCTCGGAGTCACCCCATTCCCCTCACTCAACTGTTCCTGCCCTTCCAGGCAGTTCAAGGCTGTCTGGCTCACAACTTCCCTGACTTCCTTGGCAAAAGCAACCTGGTTTATCCAAATCCCTCCAGGACATGCCCATCTTCCAAACTGAGCATCTGACTACACAGACCTAACTCGTTTGGTCATTTCATGTTTATTAACCCTATCTCCACAGCTTTGGGAGCTTTGGGAGCATAGTGCATAAGGCACTTGACTGCTAACCAGAAGGCTGGCAGTTCAAACCCACCAGCCACTCCTTGGAAGGAAGATGGGGCAATCTACTTCCGTATGTTATTGCCTCGGAAACCACTATGAGTCGGGTCCACCTTGATGGCACTTAACAACAAACAACAACTCCACAGCTTGAACAGCACTACATACATGGTTTTTATTTACTGCCACAGTCTCATTATAAATTAAGGTTATTAACACCCTGTGGCACTTGTGGCAATTAAATGCTAATTTGGCTTAATTCTTTTTGCTATATATATTAAAGTGAAGAGGTAAACTGATCTTTTTTTAATTGCTTAAAGAAGCTGTAGAGTTGATTACATGATCACCTATCAAGTCATGCACTTCAGAGCATAACTCAAAACAAAAACCAAAGTCACCGCCCGCAAGTTGGCTCCAACTCATAGCAACCCCTCTTGTTCAGAGCACAGGGCAGGTTGACAAACTGCAGTTAGCCCTTCCCTCCTGAATAACTTGTGTGTGTCAGGCAGCAGGACCTCACAGACGGCCTCCAGCTCTTCTATAAACAGAGCTTTCTCATCATTGCGTGACATCCCAATGCTCGAATGTCTCGCACTTTTTCAGACAGCCCACCCTGGCCACACACTCGAGGCGCACCCCCTGTGGACAGTGCTGCAACGGCTGTTTCACAGCCAGTGGTCACCTACTGCCCCACGTGAGCTCTCCCTGGTGTTCTGGCTTGTTCCTACTCGTCTGTGCTCCCACCTGGGAGCATCCTCCTT